ATACTGATTTATAGTGGTCTTACCGAGTCTAATTGGATTTTTTTTTTCGAATATAAGCGAACCAATGTTCGAATCAGCTATGCCACTATTTATTCATGAGAAATTTATGAATTTTATTAATTTTAAACACAGAATTACTTTGAAGTAAAACAAAAAAATCGCATTCTAAATGTAAAGTAATAATATTAGAATATACAAGCCCTACTACACCCAGCAAGTCACGGCTACCGAAACCCCAACAACGGAACAACCCGGAAAATAACACTAACTTTGTAAGTAACCGGCCACTTAACCGATAAGATGTTTGCAATTTTGGTTTTTTTTGGTTCAATTCTCATTTTCACAACAATTACTTTCCAGAACGACCCTAAATCACGTAATTTTATGAAAAGTACGCATGGTGCGTATGCTATAGAGAATATAGTAAAAAAAAATCTCAGGGGTTCTCAATCAAGTCAAAACGATAAAGAAATTATGTAGTCATCAGTCAAAATATCACCTGATCCAGTAGGTTATAGAGAAAAGGTTAAAAAAAAAATGTTCTCAGAGGTTCTGAATCAAGACCTTTCATGAAAGAGTTCTTAGTAGCAATTATGAACAGCAGGTAAATAAGATTTTTCCAAAAATTTAATCTCAGCTTCAGCAAAATGTGAAAGGTCAGAAGAGAGTAATTCAAGAAGGATTACCAAAAATTGGTGATCATCGAAGTCACCGAACGGAAAATTCAAATAACGAATTTTTTCGATAGTGTTGGGGCATAGAAAGAAAGGTGTTTGGTGGATTGAATTGATAGGCCATTCAAACTGATAATGTCTCACGACTACTGGTACTATGGTAAGGCAAAACGCCGGACTTTCGGCGGCCGGAATTGTTGAGGTATTTTTAAGTGGTCATCCGGCGGAAATGTCAGCACTGACGACCGAAGTTATTATATAGATTCTGAACAAACCCGACCTCTTCTAAAGGCAGTCGCATTCATGCATTTATTAAAAACGCATTCAGATTTATAATCGAAGTCATCATATCATTTCGAAAATTCTTGCCATTTTAGCAAATAATTTCAGAATTGTGTAATTTAAGAGACAGTTCAAAAATCTTTTATATAGACAAAATAAGTAGAAGAATGATATGTACCAAGAGCAAAGTGCCCCATATCCTGCCATTAGTTTTGTGAATGCCAAACTGCAAATTTTCGACGTCGTTATCATTCAACCAAACCGACCAACCGTTCATTTGGGCAATGCGGGTGCCTGGCAATTGCATGTTCATTGCTCATCATTTATTTACAATGCCAAGCAGACGAACTGGAGTAAAATTAAAGCGAGGAAAGTAAAAAAAAAAAAACACACGAAAAAATATTACAAGTATAAAATAAGAAAGGAACAACGCTCTACAGAGGAACTACTAAACCACCAAGGCTGATCGTGTATATACTTTCCAAATTCTAAATGCAATACAATTGCAATTTATGAAGGTACGGAAATAAAGACGTGCTATGCAGCTGTATATTAAGTATCCATATTGTATTCGACCATTTGATAGCTTGTAATGGGCCATCATGCGATGGGCGCTACCACCAATGAACGATATAAATACAATATAGACACTTCCTGCAGTTAAAGCGCATCAGCAGCATTCGCAAATGAGCAGCAATTGAAGAATACTCTTAATAGAAGTGGCTTGCATGCGCCTTAACTACCAATTGGAGAAATGCAATGTGAAGAGCAGAGCTTAAAGAGCAGTTTATAAACGGATAAATATGTAATAAATGCGGTAGTCAATTGTAATACAGCAGCTGCATTTGTAGACACCTTATATGGTTACACGATGTAAATGTATAAATTTGGTAGAATTTGTCTTAATTTAAAATTATTTTACACTTATGACTAGTGATGCCACAGTGTACGATTAGCCAATCATACGGCATTTAGTGTTATATTTTGTTTTTTTTTTTATAAATATACATTTATTTCTTCATTTCAACAATTTAGTGACGTGGACTATGTTAAAAACTACTTCAATTTTTAACTAACTACTGTGCTAAACTACTTAGCTTACCTTGACTCTGCTATGAGTGTAATTCTATTTAGCTTAGCCACAATTTCATGCATTATATGTTAAAGTATTTCGTATTCGCATATTCTTAACCGCACTAATTACTATTTTACGAGTATAAATATTTCGCGTTTTCACTTTTGTCTACAACTCAAAGTTATCTTCGTAATTGTCTTTGAACAGCAATAGCTGCTCGAGCGCGTCGACGTAATCATCCTCCTCCAAGCCAGCTGCTTTATATCGATGCAGTTTGGCTATTTTCACACGTTTAGCCTCGCGATGCAGCGTTTCTAGCGTATCACCCAACTCGCTAGATGACTGTGCAGCGGCTAGCGTCGGCACAGATACGACTTTCTCTTCTGGCTGCCTTTTTGTGGTTGGCGAGAGAAAACCCAATTTTGTCATTTCTTCGGCAAACATTTCAGTTGGAAACGGTATGCGCGTTGGCATAGCCATTGACACCGATGCCACATGTGACATACTCGCATGATTCGCACATTGCAAGTACAGTTGGAACATTTCAGAGACGCTATCACATTTATATGCGGCCATGCGCATTTGTTCCTTAGCCTTCTCCAAAGGCTGTTTTAGGCGATCGCGTGTTATACCGCGTACACACAATGTTTGTATTACATAATCGGTGCCAATACTGCAGTTGGGTGTGAGTGATGTGAAAATTGGGCCTTCAAATTGATCCAAACAATCAATAAGATCTTGGTTGTGTTGCATGGGGAATGGCAGTGCAAAAGCGGCGCCCGCCAATTTACGACCGTAATTATTTAAATCACCACAGAAACCAGCCAGTGAGTATGCAATAGGTGCATTGCGTAGCCGATAACGCAATGAAATTGTTTCCAAGTATGCTGCGAGTACAGCAGACGTCTGATACAAATTATCTGGCTGATAAGTAAGTGAGCGCAGTTGCCGCGCTGCACCCAATTGCCGCCACACACGATCGCTTGTGCTGAGCGGTACAAACAGTGAAGCTTGTTCACTTAACTTGTGGAACGCCAATGCGCTATTAACAACACGTATAGAGTCCGACATGGGTTCATCTGGCAATCAGAAATATATAAACCAAAATAGAATAGTTACAATGTACATTATATATATTTTTTTATAAAAATACCTGTATTTTCAAATGGCGTATTACGTGGTGAATAGACTGGTAAAGCAAAATTTGCTTTTCCATATTCATCATTGAGGTATTCCATGCATGCGGTGGCTAAGCCTGAGTAACCATTAAAGCAGTCAAACAATGTTTGAAATCCTTGAAGAAAGTCGCACTCTTCGACATATTGTCGTATTTTATCACAGAATTCATCTTCGAATTGTTCAGTGTGCCAAAGTTGTACACCACATGCGTAAGTATCGAAAGTTTGCTTCTCTGTACTATGTTTATAATCATTAACGATGTTTACAGTTCGTGGATGATAGCGTGCATATAGGTAATCCGTCCATGTATCAACATTATCAGCCAAATTATAATTTTTCTCTTGTATATCGATTACGGGATCTTCGAGATCTTTTTGAAAATCATGTTTACTAGCATGTGGTTGCTCTACCACTTCCACATCTGTGGACATGTTTTGAAGCTCCTCTTTAATTTTCTTTACATCGTCTGTCGATTCTATGCTTTCATTTGTACGTTTTATACTATTTCCGTACAGCTCACCTTCACGCGGAAGATGCTTTAGGGATCCATCTAAATCAACAAGCAATAGACGAGGTGTATATGTTACCTGCCTCTGTAAATGACCAAAATTATGGTATAAAAAATATTTTTATTTTACCTTAACTTACATTTAAATTGACACCTTCTCTATACAATACGTCATGAGAAATTTCTGAAGGCGTGTCTTCAGGATTGTAACTAAAGCTGGATTCCTGTATTAAATATAGAAACCGTTATTTTTACGAATAAACTGTTCATTGCACCGGTTGTCGCACCTGTATATTCCACCAATGCGCTCCAATATAGTTGGCATAATTGCCGAATTGTAATGTGACAATCTCACGAGTGGAAGACATGTTATATTACTAATTTGTAACTAATATTAACAAATTTACCGATCAAAAACTTCACATATGTCCAATTAGCAAAAAATGCGACTCACTGAAACGCGGGACTTTATTTTTGTATTAGTCAGCTGACAACTGAAGTGCTGCCAAATTCACAAAACGTCTGGGTGAAAATATGGGCTCATCGGGTACATTCGGGTGATAAATATTTGCACTGTAATTTCCATTGTTAAATTTTAAAATTCTTATAACCTTTTAATTATTGTGTATTTTGCAACAAAAGATATATTTTATTAATATATAACTTTTAAGAAAATGTATGACATTTATATTCATATTTCTTTTTTATTTGTTCCGATTTCAAGACATATTTTGATATTATATCACCAATTTTAAACTAAACTGCTAAAGCAGTGACACAAAGCGGAAATCAATTAATAACCAACCTCAAACAGTGAACATATGTACATATATAACAAAAACAGAATTTTTTGAGCAGTTTTAATATTTTTCAATATTTTATTTAGCTTATACATATATAACTGTGATTTAGGTTATCCCACTGTAGAATCATTTACCTTTTAAGGAACTATCATACCTTATTTAAATCAGCTGTAAATAAGAAATATATATATGTATGTATTTTAGAATAACATTAGACCAATTTATTTTAAAATATATAATTTTACTAACCATGTACTATAGTCACCAATTGTAGTATAGATCTCCTTTAGCTTTTGATAATTTAATTTTGCAATTACATAAATATCCAATACAATAATGCAAATATATCGGCATTTTTCCACGTATTTGTTCTTTTGCAATATTTATTGTTAAATTATATTTTTACTCTCCGAATGGTGAATCGAAAATAGCATACTTTCGATTATTAAATTAATTGCAAATTTGTAGCTTCTTTGCAAGTTATTTCTTTTCATCATTCAACTTCATAGATAGATAAATGTTCCATATTAGGGATATAAATTGTGCATATAACACTTGATAATTAAGTGGAACCACGGAAAAGTTGATTACTTGCGCAGCTGGCCAAAGCATGTAATTTCGTGACAAAATCGTAAAGTAATCATTTCTGAAACGGTCTTGGATGGCTGGTATGCTTTCACCGTTGATAAGACCAAATATGCCTATTAAACTAGCAATGAATGATGGAGCAAAACATGTTTGATCCAATGCCATTTTCTTTAACGCACGATTGAGTGGTGGAGACCCCTTTGGCACTATTTTATCTAATGTTCCATACCATCCTTTTAATACGGGGCCAACGTAGACCACACCCACAGCACCGAATTTCAATATCCGATTTACGTCTAAGTTTTTCAGCTCTCGTTTTTCCACAAATGTTTGGCAAATCGCATCACCGGCGGCCATTATTACTCCTACACGGAGACCTTCGGAAATCAGTGCGCGTATAGAAGTCGGCATAACGAAACAAATTATACGCTAATAATTTTGAAATTTTGAAATTTTGAAATTTATAAAATGTGTGTTTTGTATAAAGAAAATAAAACTTAAAATTTCGACCGGCAAAATACTCTATTGACATTAAAAAAGTAAACAAAAACATGTGGCTTTGTTTATAAATGGAAGGGTTGATTGGAAACACTATTAATGTGGTAACACAGCCAAAATAATTCTCAATTTACATAGGGCAATATTGAGGGTGACTAAAAAATCATATGTTATTGGTGTCACAATTTATACATTGCAATTTTTGTTGAATAACACAGGGTATAATTGCAACCCTGTTTTAGCTGTCATTTTACAGAAATACATATTTTGACGTTAAACTGTAGATTTTATAATTTCTATTTAAATTATAAAGATTTGTTTAAGTTTTTTTTTGTTAAGAATAAATTCAGAAGGTGCGATAATTTACAATAACCATGCACAATAGTCATTTACAATAAATTTACCGAATCAGCAGCTCATATATCACTAGATTCTGCAATGGGTGCTCTCGTGCCCTTGCATATTTCGGGGTAGGATTTTTGCAATCTGCAATCTTGCGAGAGCAAGAGAATCCCCCTAATAATTAAATGTCAAACGTGTACACTCATATAACAAAAACTTGGCAGCATTGTAAATCTCGTTCATATGTTTTAGACAAAAACGTGTGGTTAACTGCGATTGCTTGGAATTCAGATATAAGTAGATATTGTGAAATATTAATAAATTGTTCTGTGTTTTTTTAAACTAGTAAAAATATATTAGCCACACAATGGCAACTGGAAAAAAAGTTCTCCAGTTTCATGAAATGGAATTGGATGAACGTCTGCTGAAGGTACGCAATGTGAAATATTTAATTTGTTAACAAAAAGAAATTTTTTATCCTTTTTGTAGGCTATTTCGAAGATGGGTTGGCTCCAGCCAACGCTTATTCAAGAGGCCGCCATACCTTTATTGTTGGAAGGTAAGGACGTCGTGGTGCGTGCACGTACTGGTTCAGGAAAAACTGCCGCGTTTGCATTACCGCTTTTACAAAAGCTTTTAAATTCAAAATTAAATGCATCAGAACAGTGTACCAGCGCACTGGTACTGTCACCCAGTAAAGAATTATGTCAGCAAACACGCACTGCAATGGAACAAATGGCTGATAAATGCGGGAAAGTAGTTCGCGTTGTAGATCTATCTTCTAGTGATGTTGTCGCACAACGACATGTGCTGTCGGAACGTCCTGATGTGGTCATATCAACACCATCTAAAGTACTAGCACATGTGCAAACGGGCGCTTTAGACTTGAAAAAAATTGAAATGCTTGTGGTGGATGAGGCAGATTTAGTATTTTCTTTCGGCTTTGAAAAGGATTTTAAAAAGCTCGTCGAACATCTGCCGCCAATTTATCAAGTAAGTAAAGAAAACGCCAAATATAATAATGCTTGCTTAAAGAATAACATATTTTAGGCAGTGCTTGTATCCGCTACTTTATCAGATGATGTGATGAATATGAAAAATATTGTGCTACACAATCCAGTTGTACTGAAATTGGAGGAACCTGATCTGGTGCCAGAAAGTCAACTTACACATCAGCGCATATCAGCGGAAGAAAACGATAAACCTGCAATATTGTATGCTTTGCTGAAACTGCGTTTGATACGTGGCAAAAATGTAATTTTCGTAAACTCTGTGGACCGTTGCTATAAGTAAGTTTTTTTTTAAGAACTTTTTTTTGTTACATATGCATGATGAAGTTTTAATTTTACGAATGAATGCGCAACTTCTCTCGAGAATTTGGCGTATATATGATTTACTGTCTAATCTTCTCTCTGATATCGGTTTCATCCTTCTCTATTATTTGCTTTTTGAAAAATCTAACATAATATAATTATTTCTGTTGTAGGCTCAAACTATTTTTGGAGCAGTTTAAAATAAAATCATGCGTACTCAATTCGGAACTGCCAACAAAAATTCGTATACATACCATCAATCAGTTTAACCAGGGTATTTACGATCTTATAATTGCATCCGACGAGCGCATGTTAGAAAATCCTGGCCGCAATAAAAGCGATCGCGAATCGGGCGCCTCTCGTGGTATAGACTTTCAGTGTGTATCGAATGTAATAAATTTTGATTTTCCCATCGATGCCAACTCGTATATACATCGTGCTGGACGTACGGCGCGTGGCACAAATAAAGGCAGTGTCTTATCACTCGTTAGCTTGAAGGATAAAGAGGCGAGTGACGCTGTTGAGGAGCGTTTGCGTAGCGGCTACATGAGCGAGGATCAAGTTATCAAGTAAAACTAGTTGATATAAATATTTTATGTATTTTGATAACAATTTTTTTCTTTCTATTTTAGAAATTATCAATTCAAATTGGAGGAAGTTGAGCCTTTCCGTTATCGTGCACAGGATGCATGGCGTGCCATCACACGCATTGCCGTGCACGAGGCCCGCTTGCGCGAAATCAGAATAGAAATTTTCAACAGTGAAAAACTGAAAGGGTTTTTCAATGAAAACACGCGAGATTTGCAAGTACTCCGCCATGATAAGCCGCTGAAAACAGTGAAAGTGCAACCACATCTTTCACATGTGCCAGAGTATATCGTACCCAAGGCACTTAAACGTGTGGCAACAACAGCAATAACACGCGCTCCCAAACAGTCTCGCGGATATCACTCCACGGCGAAAGCAGCTTATGAGAGCCAAAAGGATAATCCATTATTATGTAGCGAAATCGATTATGGCCGCAAGCGCGGTGGCGGTAGAAGAAAATAAATAAAGAAAATGATTTTTTAAGTTTTAGCTGTAATATAAAATAAATTAAAGGAAAAACTATTTTTTGCATGATCTTTTCACTTATATACTTGTATATAGTATGTATGTTTTATTCAGAAAATGTTTATACAGATGTTTATCTTAAATATGTAGCAAATATGAATTTATGTAAGCATTTGTTATCACGTAACGAAAAAACTTCTAAATACTTTGTACGTTAATTCTACGTATGTTGCATTTTTATGAAATTTCATAGCGCGAAACTGGCGGTTATTCAGAAAACAAAATTAGCCTGGTTTTTGCGCAAAATTTCATAAGTAAAGTAAACTGACTTAATGTAGCAATGCTTTAGTAGCTCCAATTAAGTAACTACACAGGGTAGAAGAAGCTTAAATTGAATTATGGGCGAGCTAAAAAAAATTGTAATGAAAATTCCATCGCTTTTGTAAAACTAATTTTTGAGAAAATTTAAAGTACACGAGCTGTTTACAAAGCCAAATATTATTTACACCGAAATGCGTATTCCTTTTGGTTTCAAGTTTAGAGGTTGAATGCCTTAAATATGGGTAGTAATAAATAATTAAATTCACTTTCTCAATGTAATTATTTTCAAAAGACGTATTACGCACTTAAAGCTTTGTTGCTTTGTACTTTGGCCGCCCATACAATCGCTTCCTCAAACGAGTTTTCGGCGTCGAGGTGGCAGCCTCGATGTGCCGACTAACGACACACTCGCACCGGCTTGCAACATGCCACCCGCGGGCAATTGCAAGTGTTGTACCATTAACTGCGGCTGTTTTTGTAAGAGACTCTCTGCCGCCAAACGTTGCTGATGTTGTTGTTCATGGCTGTCGTCGTCATCATCTGAGATCAATGAAATGCTTAAATCGCTGGATAGTTTTAAAGATATTGGCGGCGGATTAGGCGAGACCATTGGTGGCGTATCCACCAGTTGTCCTTTACGTCGTACAGGCGCTGGCTTCTGTTGTCCATTTGCAAACTCCGATATACCACAAGAAGCCAGGCCTTCACGCAGTTTTGTTAATGACAACTCATAAGTACGATTAGCAATAACCGTATGCACGGTGGTTTCATCGGGTAGCATAGGAAACAACTCGTTGTCATTAGACTTGATACAAGTGCCGCCTGCTGTTGATGAGCGTGGCACAATCGATACGGTAACTTCTTCATCAACTTGCGCACTGTACGGTGTTAAAAGGGTGGGATATGACGTATTAGATTTAGTAGGTGAAGGCGGCTGCACAAGTTGTAAATTGTTTGTGGATGTKGGAGATATTGTTGTTGTTGGCGGCAATGTTTCAGTTGCAATCGTTAATGCAGGCGAAAATACGTTATTTGTAGAAGATTCTGCGAGGGGTTCTACCAAAGATATATCCATATCACTTTCATCACTTAGAATTATGCTCTCATTGTTGACGATAACGGGTTGTTTATGACGTTTTGGCTGTTGTGATTTACGTTTACGTTTAACACGACGTGGCATGGGCGCTACAGAAGCAACTGGTGGTGGCGCGGGCGGGTTTTGTAGATTCTGTACAGGAATAAGCGTTATGTTCGGCACTTTTGATACTTCAATAGCGTGCTTGGGAAAAGCGTAGATTTGGGTAAATAGTTGTTTGGGTGCTGAATGTACGTTTGAAATTGGAACGAGTGGTGGTGGACCATCGGAAACTGTCATCGATGCACATTTTGATATAACAATTGGCTTAGCTTCAGTTACCTTAACGTCCTTATTATTATTTTCTATTGTTTTTTCATCTTCATCCGATAATAAGTCAATCGTTACGTCTGCACGTAAATCACATAAAACATTTTTGCGGCGCTCAGTCTTTTTTCGTTGCAATAGGTGATGCTGCTTAAAGCCCGCCGCCGCCAACAATGCTTTGGCCCAACGGAGACGTTTCTGACGCAGACGTTTGTTGTCGAATAGCGATGGTGAGATATAAAAAGGACCGGAATGTTTTGGAGTTGCATTTTGCTGTTTATTGTGGCTATTAGGCGTAATTGCTTCTGTTTTGTTCTGCTTTGATGGTGTTACTGTAAAAGAAAAATGCATATGAATATTCTGAATTTAGACTGCCATAGTCGAGCTTAATTTTAAAAAGTAAACAAACCATTTGTGGCATCCATTTTGACTTTTTAACTTAGTTTAAAATAAATAATTATTTTTGTAGGGAATGTTGCTATAATAACTCGCAATAGTTATTATTACTCGAAGGTACAGTCCTTTTGCAACTTGCATAATTTTGCATTTCAACCCAAATCACAAATT